GTACCAACAAAAGTTGAGCCACCACTATCACCACCACCACTACCACCATTAGCTCCATTGTTGCCACCGTTACTGACACCATCTTGGAACCCTCCAAAACCAGTGATTTTCAGCTCACACCTTGAGTTACTAAGAATAACTTCATGAGTTATTGGGTTAAGAAACTCACTACTCCCAATGGATCTTGGACTGCAACTTGGTGGCTTCTCTAAATGTCTCTTGCTTCCATGAATGACATCCTTGAGATTTGCTATAGACCTTGAACACCCTGACCTGCCTGCTTTCCTAGTCAATATTGTACTCAATTGCTTCCTGGTTTTGGGGTCATGAACATCTGATGGCTCTGATTTACAGTGTAAAGATCTCTTCAAAGAAAACCAAACTGTTGGCATATTTTCTTCTTCCTTTTACTTTTCTTTCTTCTCTTTCTTCTTGAACTTTAAAAAAATAAAAAAGATTCAAAACCCTTCTTCCTCACCAATCACTACCACTATAATAATTAGTTTCCATTTCTCATTTGCCAATAAATTGTCATGTTACTCTCCACCTTCACTTTGCCCATGAATGCTTAAAACAAGAATCTAAAAATATAAAACCTTTTTACCTGCCTTAGCTTTCTAGTTTTGCACTTAACTCCCTTTTCCAGCAATTTCCTTTGCCATTCTGGAACCAACAAACCCAACAGCTAGAACATGTCTTGTACAAGAAACATCATCAGAAAGAACTAATGCAAATGCAATGCAACACCCAGCAGCAAAAATGAAAATCAATCTAGTGTTTCATGTACCATGCTGCTGTTGTATGCCAGTTCATACATGAGAGCTCAGCTCACCAACCATCATCTCATGAATATGTTTTTCAGCTTTTTCTGAAATGGTTTGTCCATGTAAGAAGAGAAAGAAAGACAATCTGAGGACTAGGCCAAAAAACCATTAAAGCCCATCAGAAAAGAAAAAAGAGAGAGAGAGAGAGGGGTAAAAAATACATAATTAGGAAAAAAGAAATTAGACACACAAATACAAATACAAAGAACGGAAATTGATGAAGACATGAAGATTCTTTTGGCTCTTGATAACATGACAAGAAACCCTGAAAGCATCCCCCCATGTTCATTGATGCTAATAAATAACAGTTACTGAGGGAGGTAAACTTTGAAAATACAACAAATATATAAAAATAGAAAGTAAAAAAACTCTTGTCTGGTGCAAATACACATGCATATGTTGAATTATAACTAAGTTAGTTGGGGAATAGTTTTCAATCAAATTTCAATTCTAATTTCTATTGTTACAACTAAATTCTCACAAAATAATATTACAAATTGCACCTTGACCCTATTAAATGAAAAAAAAAGTCAAAATAGAAGGAAATATATATTAAAGCTGTAATAAAGCACAAGATGTGCAATAAACAAGTGCAAGTAGACTAGATTGCTAGATTCTTTGTATGAAAGTTAAAGATATTTATATGACGATTTTTCACATTCCTATCATTTTTTTCATTTAATTTATTGGGTATTTTTTATCATAAACTCATATTTTTAATTTAAAAAATATACTTATTAAGTTAAAAAATATTATTATTTATAAACTCAAAACTCATCTTATCTCTTACTAACATATAGTCTATGACATTTTACTGCATCAAATATATAACACCTTATTACATCATCTCTTTCACTAATAGAGAAGAAGAACTTATCTTAGTTCGAATCAAACTCACTTTAATCCAAATATACTTAGATCTTGATATCTTTCATAAAAGATCTCACATCGATAAATAGTTAAGTAAGTTTTTATATCATTTGTTAGATTCATATTTTTAATCTAAAAAATATATCTATTAAATGCAAAAAAATCATTACTCATCTCATCTAATAATATATGAAATCTAGACAATTTAAAGTGACTATGACATAAGTTAACCTTTTATTTAACTAGTTCCATTAATATTCCTTTTCTTTTTAGTACCATAATTTCTATGGAACCCAATTTGAAATTGTCAGGGTTCCCAACTCACCTACTTATTTAATTGCAAGAGGAATGGAATTCTACTATACATCTCGTGAATCACTTGATTAAAATAAAATAATAAATAAAAATTATATAAAATCAAAAATACCCTTTGGTGAAAATGTGATGCAATTTCATATACTATATAGTTTTTAATAATAATAATCTATCACTGTCAAAATATGCTATAGTAGAGAGTGGACCATGGTAGGTTACCACTTTTATGCTTGTACAACTGTAAGCTAAGAACTTTTTGTACCTTTGTAAAAGGATACAGTCTTTTACATTTGTTTCTACTCAAAATATTAAAAATTCCTTCAACACAATGGATTTTATTATCTTTTGATTGATTTTATTTGCATATAAATTTTAAAATTTAAGTTATTACCGAAATACGTTAACGATCAAGACATTATTTCAGCGATAATTTATATTTAATCATTAAAATAAATGTTTGGATTTTCACAAAACTGGCTTTGGGATAATAAAGAGTATATAAAATTATTTTCCTCTTAAAATTCAAGAGAAGATGTCTTTAATATTGTTGTATAGTATATTTGGGCACTTGAAAGGTAAATCTTATCCAATTGATTCTTATGATGAAAGCAATTTGTATTGCATTATCCCAAACCTAGCAAGTTATAATTGGAAGTTGAAATGAAGAAATTGAAGAGAATGTTTCCCATGTAGTTGGAGAATGACTGGTGACCCCAAAATGAAGCAAAATGGGGGTTCAATAATTGCAGTGGATGGTTTTGTAAGGAACATACTAACAAAAAAATATTATGCATTAATGCCAAAAGCATATGACAAATATTTTTAATTTTTTTCTTTTTAAGCAAAGGAAAATCTTATAAAAGGGTCAAAACTAAAAGAGTTGGTTAACAACAATATGAAACATTTATGGCAATTCTTGAATTGAAATAAATTGGATAAATATAAGTATGGTGGATCTATTTTTATTAATTTTTTTGTAATTAAATTATTTTTCGATTCTCCGACCCAAATTTATTTCTAAATGAATAGAATTAATGGTGAAACTTGAAAGGTTTTATATTAAAAAAACAAAAATAATGGTAAAGGGTACTTATTAGTTAAAAGAATTAACTCTTTTATAACATGGATGGACAAACTATTAAGCAAAGTGGGAGGGAGGGGTGTTTAGTGTTTGTATATTTGAACATATTCAATTGTATACTATATTTGTTATTTTTTAAATTATGAAAATATAAATCCGTCTTTTTGAATCGTAGATACATGCACGAGGACAGGCTTAAATGAATTTATTTAAATATAAAATATTTCCAATTTAAATAGAAGAATAAAAAGGTTATGTTGCTAATATCACCAAAAGCCCTAATCTAAAGAGGGAAACTAAACCCTTGCATCATGCCAAGGGGGCCATGTCTCAAAGACACCCCTTTTGACACCTTAAATCCTGGTTTAAAAAGCAACCCAATAATGAAAAACCCAGACTGCAAAAACAAGTGGAGGATTTAGAAAAGAGAGTAAAATTCATAATTAGCTTTGAATAGTGGAACACTAATCTCAATGCAACTTTTCAAAAAAACATAATAAATAAATAAATGATGAAAAAGAGGTAGTAGAAGAGTTTTGAAAGCTTGGGTTTACTCAAATTCATTTCTTTTTCCTTTGTTTGCTGTTTTTTGCTTTGTCATCTTGCTGTTTGTACATTAAAGAGGCACCTATAAGCTTGTGAAATTCTTATTATATGTATATAACCCATTAGTTATTACCTCTTTTTATGAAGTTTCATGGTCTGAGGCACTGCGTGGGGTTACACAAAAGCCATGGAAATGGCACTGGCGTTTGAAAGGGAAGGCAGATGTAGTTAAGGTGTCGGTATATGTTTAAGAACCCCATTTAATGCTAGCACATGCCAACCATGAGAGTTCCACTTTGCCTTAGCAAATTGCATTTATTTTAGAGACAATGATAATTGGAAAAAGAGCATTGAGCAACTAAAATTTTTGAGTGAATATAATTTAGAAGTGTTCGTGGATCAAATTCTGTCAAATTAAATTTTGATTTAATTTGAATTTGAATTTCGAATAGAGTTAGATATGGATCGAGTAATGAAAAAAAAAAACTTTACTTTTATCCTTATTATCACCAAGTTAATTTTTAGATACCTTAAAGTCCCTCTCTTCTTTTTCTCTTTTGGTACACTAACTACATGTATTGATCCCTTACTCATACATTTCAGATAAAGTTTGGACTTCCCATGACCAAAAAAACTACTTGAAAGATAAAGAAAGGTTGCTATATAGATGAGGAGAATCAGAAAGTTATAGGATGGATCATGGAAGAAGTAAGGTACAAACCCACTGATCATAGCACTTTGGGCCAAGAATAGAAAATTTAGGTCTGAAGAGGCAGAGACATCTGGTCTTTGGACTAAGAGAGGACTAACCCAAATCCATGTCTGAAGATTGGGTTCTATTCTGTTTGAATCCATGCCTGATCACACTCAACTCAACTTAGGCCCAAATTCACAAATGCCATGTTTGAAGGCATTGGCATTCAGGGTCACTTATATTAGTCTTCTTTTATTCTTCCAGCTTAATCATGAATATGCTTCCTATAATTGTACTTCTAAGTTAGCAAAGGAGATACCACTATCAGAGCCTGTAATTGGGTTCTTTTATTCTCTTGAACGTGTTCCTATTCAATATCTTAGGTTGATAAGCAAAAATCTTCTTCCACCAACATAGTTTTTGGATTGAAAAATGTAAACTCATGATATATTCAGGGACACTTGTATTATTGTCTTCTTCTATTCTTCCACTTTAATCATGAATATGCTTCTCGTATTTTACTAAGTTAGCAAAGGAAAAACTGTGCTTGTCCTTTTTGATCTTTACATTTTTTTTGCCTTCACTTTTCATTATTGTTCTGTAAATTTTCTTTAATACTACGCAATGTCTTCATCTTTTTTTTTTCTTGAGAAAATATTAGAAACGAAAATATTGTAGTTGGAAAAAAGAGTTGGGATTTCTTTGTCACATAAAGTTACTTATATGCAAATAAGTACTTTACCCCTTCTTAGCTGTCCTTTCTGTAGTGAACTTGTTCGTTGAAATCTGCTGTAAAAAGGGCTCTGCTCCCCTCTCTTATTTCCTTCTGGTAGTCATCAAACATCATCCCCCATTGTTATTAGAGGTTGTGGAAATGGCAAAACCCGGTGTTTTTGTTTGTCTTGTGATTGTTATTGTGGATGTAGCTGCTGGTATTCTCAGCATTCAAGCACAAATTGCCAAAGACAAGGTACATGCATCTTTTCTTGTACATGAAAGAGAGAATGTATCTGATATCGTTACATACTTTGTCAGATATGTAAATGTACTTGAGCCTGAATCAGGTTTACCAATGTTTAAACAGGTGAGACATAAAAGCCTAAAGAGATTTGAGTGCCAAGAACTGAATGATCAAGCTTTCAAGCTAGGGTCGGCTGCAGCAACTCTACTAGCTTTGTCCCATGTTACTGCCAACTTGCTTGGTGGCTTCACGTGCATCTGTTGCACAGAAGAGCTTGAAAGATCATCTGCCGACAGGCAACTCTGGTTCGGGTGCCTTGTTCTTTCTTGGTATGTGCTTTTACACCTTCATTTTTCCTTGTTTTCTGATTATGAGGACCATATGATTGATGGGATAGATTACTCCCATAGATTAAAATTCATTGTCTAAGCTTCTGCCCTGGGAATATGGCAGAAGAAAGTTGTGAATTACATCCATGTTAATTTCTCTGGTTTGCCTGAATGCTGCTGATTATCAGGATTGTAGTAGCTGCTGGATTTCCAGCCCTGGTTATGGCGACGCTAGAGAATTCCAAATCAAAAGGGTCATGCCAGGTTTTGCATCATCATTTTCAAATTCTTGGAGGGATACTGTGCTTTGTACATGGCTTGCTGAGTGTTGCACTCTATGTTTCTGCACTCATGGACTACAAGGAGACCCTTAAACAATGAATATGGTCCATCAATTTCCACCAAATTCGGAGGATGGGAGAGTAGCTGGATAAGGACTTACCTAATCAAGCTGTGTACCTAGTGCTTTCTTAGGGGTAGGAAATAGAAGCAAAACAGGAAAAAGCAATCACTTTTTGCTTAAGGCTGAGAGGTCCAAACAGAGATTTTCTTGTTAAGAGATTGGAAGGAAAGTGGGGCAATTGGCTTTTCCTAGTATGCCAACAGCTACAATTAACTCTACTCCAAATAAATATTTGTCATTTTGCTTTGTTCCTACCATGCGTGGACCGTACAACATCTCTTCGTAAAATCAATTTGTAAGCAGACATCATTTTCAATTAGATATAATCCACGATGTTAATTTGTCATTTTTCTTAATTCGGTATATTGAATACATAATCTATGAGAGTCGTGAGAATCTAGTTTAAAATCTAAATTTCTCTACATTATGCTCGTTTAACATTAAATAAAAAATATACATATATATATTTACCACCGAATCAAATATTCAGACATAATATTTTTTATTTTTTAATTTTAACATAAAAAAATAAAATAGGTTATCTCCGTTCTTCGTAAATTCATTTCTTCTCCCCAATCCAGCCTCATGCAAGACCTAAGAGGGTTTCTCCAACAAGTCAGTTCAGCCAAAACCTTAAACTTCATAAGAATGGAAATTAGACATGGTAAAGCATCAAACTAAGCTAAGCCAGGTCCAAAGTCCAGAGAACTTGGAGTTGGGCTCACCAAACTCATTTATACATATTTGTTCGACCCGACCTAACATTTGAATTTAGAATGAGTTTACGTAGGAAGTTTATTACATATCTCGAGTTTTAATAGAGAGTATCATCTCTTAATTACCCATTACTCTATTTTGATTATATTTTTATCTAAGTAACATTGGATGTTAATACCTTAAACCAATTTATATATATTTTATATATTATTATAAGTTAATAATATTTGTTTAAAAATAGATAAAAATAATTTTTGTAATTTATCAAAAACTAAAAAAAATAAAAAGGTGAAATAATACAATTAGTCTTTATATTCTGTCTAAGTGGTAAATTTAATTTTTATATAGTATTTTATAAAAATTAAATTTTTATAATTTTTAAAATTAATAATGTTAATTTAATTATTAATTATATTTAAATTTTTTATTATTTATATTGATATAATATTTAAAAATAATGTAATCTTTTAAATAATACTTATTATATTATTATTTAATATCATATCGTCAAATTCAATATCAAGTCAATATTGTCAAATACTATGTCTATATAAATACGAAAAAAATTTAACACTATTAATAATTAAATTGATATTATTAATTTTAAAAAATATAAAAATTTAATTTTTATAAATTATTATATAAATATTAAATCTCGAGAGTGTAGGGAGTCATGGTACAATTTTACCAATTAAAACAATAGTGGTAGTGATGTAATTAATTACGGTCAGCGGTACCTCATCTGGCATTGCAGCTTCTAATTGGCCAATCACATCGAACAATACAAACCGAACCGCAAGAATAAAAATATTAAAATATCTTGAGGACATTTTCGTCATTTCAATTATAAAGAGAGAAAAAAACTGAATTTCCCTCCTTAAAATTAAAATTTAACTAACCAAAACCGCAGACAAGAAAAGCAAAAGCGGTGTTCGCTTCGAATCTTGACCGTCCGTCTTATCCATATCTAACGGCTACTCTTCTCGATCCGCGTCCTCTCTTCCCATTGGCTAATTAGTTTACGCTCTCCACTATATATACCCAGAACTACCGGCTATTCTCTCACTTATCTCTCTTTCTCCCTTCCACGCACTTATTTTTTAGCATTTTTTATTTTCTTTTAAATTTTCGTTTTATTTTTGTTGGGTCTACAATGGCGGGTCGGGGCAAAACTCTCGGATCCGGAGCGTCCAAGAAGGCGACATCGAGGAGTAGCAAGGCCGGGCTTCAGTTTCCCGTGGGTCGTATCGCTCGGTTCCTTAAGGCGGGGAAATATGCAGAGCGGGTAGGAGCTGGAGCTCCTGTTTACCTCGCCGCCGTTCTTGAATATCTTGCCGCTGAGGTACAATAACTTTCTTTTCAAAATTTTTTTTTTCTTTACTTTGTTTTAAAATTTCTAAGGGATTATCGGTAATTTTTATTAAAAGAAGTGTTTATTTGATTTGTAAAGTAATCTAGGGTTTCGAATTTTTCTTTTAATTTTGGGAAATTTTAGTTTTTGTTTATGAAATTTTATTTTCTTTCTAAATCTGGATTATTTGTTTGAAATTTTTGGATTTTTAAAATTTTCTATGATTTCAGATTTTTTTAAAATTCTGGATCTATGTTATTTATTAGGGTTTTTAATCATATCTGCATGAAATTGAGGTTCGATTTTCGGATCTGTGCTTTATTTTTGTAAATTTTAGTATCTTTCAATTTTCTCAGGCTCCGAAATTAGGGTTTATTTTCGTGAATTAATTGTATTTTCCCCAAAATGTTTATATTTTCGTGAAATTAACGTATCTTAATAATTCCTAAAATTAGAAGAAATTAGGGTATCTATTTATCCAAGCAGCAAATGAAATTTTTATTGAATATTCGGTGGTTTTTCTTGTTAATCTTAGTGAAAATTGTATGTTTATTTCAGGTTCTTGAGCTTGCCGGTAATGCAGCCAGAGACAACAAGAAAACCAGAATTGTGCCACGTCACATCCAGCTCGCCGTAAGAAACGATGAGGAGCTGAGCAAGCTACTCGGAGACGTAACAATTGCCAATGGTGGTGTGATGCCCAACATCCACAACCTCCTTCTCCCCAAGAAAACCGGAACCTCCTCCAAGGCTTCCGGAGCTGATGAAGATTAGATCAGATTAGTTTAGATTCTGAAAGCCAGAGAGCAACCGTCCACTCGCTTTGTTGATGTGATTCTGAGATTTAATGGTCTTGGATTTTAGCTTTGCTTGTTGTTCTATTAGTTTTTTGAGCTTAGGGTTTGAAGAAGAATTTTAATGTCTTTTATGGAATTGTAGTTTGTTGACAGTGTTTAGTTAGTAGGTAGCTTAGGGTTTTTAGTTTAATGTGAATATAATCAATCATCAATCATTATCTTCTACTTGCTTAATAGAAGAGTTGTGACCCATTTTTTTTCTTTCCTCTTGTTCGTTAATTTAACGAATGCAACATTTCAATTTCCATCTCCATTGCTTTCTTGATCGTTAACTCTTGTTTCTTTTGATTAATGTTTGCATTGATTGAAGTTTGTTGTGGGATGTTATGAAAAGGGTATAGACTTATGTGCAGTCTGTTAGGTTAGGTACTCCAATAAAGTTGGAGAACCTAATGAATCTTGCCAAAAATAACTGGCATTGAAGAGGATTTGATGATCTGAAACCTTTTGACAATTCCAAATCTTATGAGGAGTCCAGGTTGTAGATTGTCAATGGTAGTTTTCAGTTTTTAGTTTAAAGTGAATGTTTCTCATCATCATCCATGTGCTTAATTGAAGTTTGATTAATGACTTGTCTCATTGGAATTTGTTGTTGGATTGTGTGAAAGGGGGTTAGATGCTTGCCTTTTGATCCTCAAAGACAGATAGAGAATCTTAATCTACTATGGTATGTTTATTGAATTTGATGTCTCTGACTAAGTTGATTGTGTATTGCATTTGCATGATTTAAATGACGGAACTTGACCCAAGTGATCAAATTTTCCTGTTTGTTTTGATTAATGAAAATGATTGGCATTGAAGATGATTTGATGTTTCTGATTTTTGCTGGAAAAGGGCATTCAGAGTCTTGCTCTGGTTTGTAGAAAGTTGGGAACATGTGGCAGCAAATCTATGTTATGATTCTCTGGTTACTGAATTTCATGATGTCTGTGAGTAGGTGGACGTTGTAGTGCATGGCAAGATTTTTCAAGCCATATGACGAGGTGAGGAATAATAGCGTCAACTTGAGTTTTTCCCATGAATTTTGGAAGCAAAACCCTGGATTTAAGTTGCCATTTCTAGCAAGCAGAAAAAGAGAAAGAATCTGTGTTTTGAACTTGTGGAACATGTCCATTCTGACACTGGATGGGAATAAGCATGAAAGGTGGAGCTGGGTTAAATACAAGGCCAAACTCCCAGTTAAAACTTAAAGGTCAAACCCAAACCAGCGTCAAAAATGGGCCAAAATGGAATTATGGAAACAAGATTTTCTTGCCAAATCAAGGATCCATATTTAAGAGTTACAAGGATGGAACCACGTCATGTCCTGGTCTGGTAGGAGAGTTGCGAATATAATATCGATTTTGTATTAAAGTATGATTAGATATTTAAATATTTATACTATTTTTAATTTATAAAACCTCTTTTATGAAATAAAATAGTAAAATTTAATAGGTCAAAACAAATAATATTTTTAAGTTGATGTAAATCATAACAATTGATTTTAGAGCCAATTTTAAAAGTACTAGTGATGTAGCACAGATGACAATATGTCTTTATTAGAATAGAGGAGGATGTTATAGTTTTAGAGAGAATTATGAATCTCATACTGATTATATATTAAAGTGCGATTAAGTAATTAAGTATTTATATTATTTTTTAACTTGTGAAATATTTTTTATGAGATAAAACTATGAAATTCAATAATTTAAAATAATATTTTACAAATTGATGTGAATTGTGATGCTATTCATATAATTAATTTAAGCGGACGTAACTTTGTCTAAGCATAAGGGGTTCCTGAGGTGGATAAGTTGTGTTCTTTCATGCCCTGCATGGCCCCAAAGTCGAAAAGGCCTCTTTTAGAATGTTGTCACTTGTCATGGCAAGTGACAGGCGACCCGGAAGTGAGCTTCACCTCCAAACTCAGAAACCTGAAAAGGACTTTCTCAAGACAGTGGTAGTTATCATAATTCAACAAGAAAAATCAATTGGTTTCGTGCATATTCTTAGAAGGGCTTTCACAAGTGAAACACGAAATCAAAGAAGAAACTAGCTACCAACTCCTTCATATCTTCAAGCAGAACACCACAGGCCAAGAAAGAAGGAAAGTTAAACGAATTGGCCCCATCTCAGAGACAACAGCCTGCAAAATGTCCCTCCCAAGCCATTCCCTGCAACTCAGAAACAACAGTGCAGAACAGAACAAACCATAGCTAACACCTGAGTTCCCTGCATTTTTTCAAAGATCCTATGGACAAGCAAGATGCTGCTACTGTTTTACTTTCATTTAGGTTCTCTATGCCACTCATAAAGGCTCAGGATTCAATTAATTCTCATCTCTCAGTCTCCTACATTAGAAACAAACTGTGGGCTGCTAAAACAAATGAAGGAAAATTTCACCACCTCCATGGTTGAAACATGATAGCCAGCAATAAGAAATTCAAGGCAATGTTCTTTTCAATTAGCTTCCCACCAACTTGGATTTCCTCTCCCAGTCAGACTCTACTAGGAATTCATTGGGTTCCCTTCATTTCTGCCAAGTGATGGGTACGTGGCTTGAATGCTCTTTTAACTTTTTCTTGCATGGAAGAAGAGCATATCAGTATATCACCATTGAAGGGTTAAAACTATGAATCTCAAATTATTTTATTTGAATTAAAAGTTCTTTGAACTAATTAATATTCATAATAAAGTAATTTATATAATGTTTTGGTACATATGATGGCTTTTTTATTATATCGTAAACTACTCAAAAGAAAAATAAATATATTTCATCCCTCAAATTCACAAATCTTACTTTATTTCCTTTCGATTTTATTAATTATAAAAAATTTAAATTCAAATTTTCAATATCTGACATTAGATTGATTTTTTTGAAAAATGACATCTTTCTTTCAAATGACGAAGACATTTATTCATAAAAAAACTTTGATGTTATAAATACTTATGGAAATAATATCTATAAAAAATATTTATAAACACCCGTTAATCAAAACCCTAATTCATATATTTATATGATAATTGGATTTTACTGTTGCATGACTATATCCCACTAAGAATGCATTAATATATAATTTCAATTCCCAAACTTGTACTAATAAATGACAAGAGAGACGGCTAAGGCAGCCCAATTTGAAATTTATTAAATGATGCCCCCCCACAACGCGTAACGCGTAGCTTCCAAATAACTACAATATCCTTTTCCTCTCCTTTTTCTTAATGGAAGTTGGCTAAGAAATGAGGTCAATTCTTAACTTTGACATTTTTGAATAAAACATCTTAGTTTTCGGTCACGGATAATTATCGGAATATATTGCATGACATTTACTCTCACCGAATTCGACAAAGCCTTCATCTTTGCCTAAAGGTATTTGAAGAGAATCGAGTTTAGGTCTAATTTATTTTGATAGTTTTTATGTAGTATTGATAATTATAAGTTTTTAAAGATTCCATTGATACAGGATTCAAATATCTTATTTATTTTGAAGTGTGTGGCATGAAATTTATGTTGAAATTTCTATTTTTATATATTTATGAGATATTATTATAGGATTAAGTAATAATATATTGATACTGTAAATTGGTAATGTATTGAAATATTAATTTTAAAATTTTAATATAATAAAAAAATAATTTATTGAGATTAGGATATAATTACTATTTTCAGATTCTTATCACAACGATCAAGAGTTCATCAAATGGAATAAATTTATAGTGGAAGGCTTTTGAATCCTTTGAACAAATTGGGAAAAAAAAGGATTGGATTTGGTTCAACTTGTTTCTCCTATATGGTAGCCAATTTATCAATATATAATTAAAAACAATTGAATTTCCATGTAATTAATATTTAAAGAAAAAAAGTATTGGAAATAGATAATAAAAGGGTTTTTTTTTGAAAAAAAATTGAATAATTTGAGATATTTCATATTTAATTAGAATAACAATGACTTATCTTTATCCATTCAAAATTCCCAAAAGCAATAATTATCATTAATTATTGAAAAGGGTTTTGGCCAGGCAATATTAACCTGTCATAACAGAACCTTAATCACTCCCATTAATTACCCCTAAAAACCTCATTTTTAAATTGCAAATTTCCCTTCTTCTTCAGTAAATTTCCATTTCAAACCCTAAACCAAAATTTAAAAAATTAAATCAAAATCCCAAAACCAAAAAAAAAAAAAAAGGAGAAAGAAAACATTGGAAACATTCTATTTTGTCAGCTCGTTGTAAGAAGAACCCTTGTTCTATAAAGGCCAACATTTTCTTGGTCAACATTTTTACATGCATTTAACAGCTATATTTTTTTTAATTTGCCTTCAATGAGTTGCTTTTCATTGGATCTGGTCATAATAAAGGGACCACCTTTGCCCTTTTATGTGTTCACATTTTAGGATCTTTCAATTACTCATGCGAAGAGGTTGGTAAAGTTTAAAAGGAAAGATTTGAAATTTTTTTATTTTTTCTATGAGCTCCTATTTCAGCTCTGTGTAATCATTTCATTTCTGCTTTTTGTTTTAAAATTTGATTTTGATCCCATCTTTTGCCTTTCAAAGGGAAGATAAATTCTGGGTTTTGCTTGGTTTTTTGAGTTCTGATTCCAAGTTTCACTCTTTCATTAAGTTTTTGAGGATTTAAGGGTTTCTTTCGAGGGAAAATTGAATTGGGTTGCTGCCATATGATATAAAGGTTGAACGTTGATGATAGAAGTTGGTAGGGTTTTGGGTTGTGTTGGTGGTGGGGGGTTTTGCTTATTGATGAAATGAAAAGGATTCCTTTTTGTGCTCGTGATGATGCTGATGATACAAGGACAAATGGGTGTCATAAGAACAAAATTTTTGTGGTTTTTGGTAATTCTGCTTTGTGTACCATTGGCTGTCAGCTTAGATTACAGGAGGTTTGGAGAAGAAGCATTTCTTAACCAATTATTAGATCCAGCAACTGGGGAGATTGATGAAAATCTGGTAAAGGAGATTACTTTGCTTGTTTGCTCCTAATTTCTGTTCGTTTGCTTGTACACTCCTTTGTATAAGAACAATTTCCTTCAATGATCGGTTTTCTTTAATTTAATGTCCATCGACTGCAATTGATTTGCTTGAACAATATTGTTTGTGGTCTGAAAGCAATTTTTGCTTTCTTTAGTAGCAAATAGTTCATATTTGCTGAAAGCATGCTTTAGCCTTTTATTGATGCGGTAGAAATGGTTGAGAGGATGTTTT